ATATACCGTTTATACCTGATATACTTACCCTTATAATTTTCTATCATCTACCCATCATTTTTCCCTACAACAATATTTTATAATTTGCTTTAGAATCAACAACAATGAATCACGTGCCCATAATTCGCTGACTCAGAATTGAGATAATTACCCAAGGAAACTATCTTTTTGAAGGTAAAATGCTATATATTATTTATCGGTCTCTATTTTAAAACAAAAATGTACATAATGCAAAATTAGGATCACAATATAGGGTCCAAGATATTCCAGTTCGCCTTCGAAAATGATTACCCATGAAGGATGATATTCGCCTTCATTAGTAATAAGAATAAACTGCAATAACGGTATAGTAAATGAAGTATAAGATCTCAAGTATGACTAAACTCAAAAGTTTGTCTCATCTCTCTTGGCTATCCGGCGAGTCGATCGTCAATCTCCCACGGTTCTCGTCACAGCGTAACTAAGTGTTCCAAATTAAACTATGACTTTAACTCTCAAGGCGTGTTTAGACTTGGCCGGTCCTGACTTTAACTTCTCTGTCGACTAACCTGCCAATTCCCTTAGGCAAAACCTCGGTTTTCTTCCTTAGTCGCGTAGTGCAAGCTACAAGTACTTTCGGCGCACGGGTAAACAAGATAAGAGTTATCCTTGATCGTTACTTTATTGTTTATTAATTAATGCATTCTAAACTAATTTAACTTTTTTACTCGTCTACATGCTACTAAATTGCGCATGTGTTTATGCATGCGCCTATTGTTACATGTTTTACATCTGTCTTGCTGTTCTACGCTATTCTAGAAATTCCCACCTTTAAATTTTCCCACTGTTACTCCCACATCAACACTAATTACGTAACTTAACACGTATCGCGTTACCATCTCCCTCATTTTTACCCACGACACTACCGTAATTAGTAAGATTAAAGACAAAGTTAATAACAACAGAACGATGCTTTCTAATTAAAAAATAAGATTAGGAACTCTTTGGAATTTCCGAAGTAACAGAATCTGTTACTGTATCATATTTCTAGAACAAATATTTACAGTACAAAATAAATTCGGAATAACATTCCGTAGTACATACACCATTATAAATCGAAACCAGATTCACCAAATATCACCAAATATCATCAAATAAATATATAAATCATGAAATATTTATTATTTAATCTTATTTTTTAATAATTTCCTCGAAATATTTCATAAGATTTGATAAAATAAAGAATGAAGAGAAAATATGGTAAATGCTCTGGGTGCAATAAAAACAAGTCCCTTAAATATGGGAACGCTAAATCGTGTGCTGGTTGTTATTATGCACAATTTCAGTCTGTTAATAGCGGGAATTCAGATATTGATAATCTAATTAAAGCAACACAGAGAAACAATATTCAATTTAGATTAGAATGGATCCCATATGAAGATTTTGTGAATGTCCAGGAGGTTGCAGAGGGCGGATTTAGTATGATATTTACCGCTAAATGGAGAAAAGGAAGAGTGAAGGGTTATTCTAAAGGAAA